AGCAGGTGACTTTACCCAATGTACGAAATACCACAGTCACCTTTATCTGCAGATTCTTTGCTCTTTTTGGATATATGGATTTCGTACAGGGATGCGAAAAAAGATTCTTCCGCTTACTAAAAGGCAATTGCCCTAGAAACAAAGTATAAGTGGCTTATTTGGACTCAATATGAAATATTATTATATCTATTTATTGCTGGGATATGTAACTCGGACTTCTAATTTGAACAATATTCTAACAGATTGGTAGTTTACCTCGTGCGATTAGGTACGTTTAAACGTATCGTTACACGTACGTATACAGGCTGGGAGAAATGAACCCCAAATCCTAGTCTGCTAATGTCAATAAACATATGTTATTACAAATAAGTTTATATTTCGCTGTCATTACAGTAAATTATGGCAAATTACTCAGACAATGGTACTTATGGGGTTCCGTGCATGCCATGGAATGGTTATCAGAAAGGTTAACAGACATGTTTATCAAGCTAATTGAATGTCAAAGAAATCATTAAGATGTTACATGTCAATTAGATACAAGGGAACATGAATCAGATGCTTTCAAAACACATCAAGCTATAATTCAATCCAGATATTCCTTTGAGCATTTCAAAATCTATTTAATCTCAGGAGTAGAAATTAAGGCATGTGAAATACCCAAAATGTCTCCATTGTGTCTCCAGGTTCTAGAGACATAAACAGAGTTAGCGGAGTGTGTGAACAATCGAATGCTCTAAAGTATTTATGACAGGACATGTTTTGGTGTTCCTATTGAACCACAGCTTTCAGCAGCGTTTGCAACGACGGCCTTTTCCATTCCATCTCTTGCTATTCCCTTCGTAGGCCAAACCGGAAAATAACAGTAGAAAGCTGGGTTTTTATTGAGACCTTCAGAAAGTCACACTGATGTCCCTAGTTCCCCCTGGTGTCATTTTCAAAATGGCCGCCATTTACAAGATGGCCGCCAGTTGTTTTTGAAAATATTTTTTTTGTAGTTTTACATTCATGATATCATGCAATATATCAAATGAAAGCTCTTTTTATAAGCTTTCACGCAATTCAATATCTGGGAAAATACAAAATGTGAGGTTAGATTCCAATGTAAGCCAGTTGTGGGACTGAGATGTGCCCCAACACCAATAATGAGGCTGTAAGAGTAAGATCCCTCGTCTCTTAACGTCATATATACCCATAGTAGTGAGTTTTATCAAGTTATTTTGGAGAAAAGGTTAAAAATTATGTACCGGAAAAGACGAACGAGTTGAGTGTTCCTGTCCTGGTAAAAGTTGTGAAAACAATCGTCATTCATTTTTTTCCGTTTCAATACCTTCAACCTTTCCAAAAAAGTTGTTTGCTTAAACCCAAGAGCGTGGGTGTGATTTACCATTTCAATCAAAATAACTTGGTGTACGTAAGAGGTAAACGGTTTGAAAACAATGGGGCATATTTACGACTAGTGTTTGTTTAACTTGGAGACATTCGTAGCAGCCAAACAAACCTAGGGTACATGTAAAGCCATGCTGCCAGAAGGGGGATTGGATCAGGTTTGGCACCTGAAACAAACCGTTCCTTTGGTAAATCTACTGTTTAGACAATAATATGAAACTTTAAAATATATTCCCAGTGAAACGTGTATAGGTAATAATGTACTGCTGTTTAGATGATGAAGGGATAGCGCCAGCTGTTGCTGTAACTCACAGCTGCCTCTGACAAATGTGGCTAATCTGTGCATAGAGACAAATGTGCCTGTCTAGTTATATTTACACGTTTACATGTACCTCTAAAATCTGAGTGAGTGAGTGAGTGAGTTGGGTTTTACGCCGCTTTTAACAGTATTCCAGTTATATCACGGCGTCTAAAATCTGAAATTATATTTACACGTTTACATGTACCTCTAAAATCTGAGTGAGTGAGTGAGTGAGTTGGGTTTTACGCCGCTTTTAACAGTATTCCAGTTATATCACGGCGTCTAAAATCTGAAATTATATTTACACGTTTACATGTACCTCTAAAATCTGAGTGAGTGAGTGAGTGAGTTGGGTTTTACGCCGCTTTTAACAGTATTCCAGTTATATCACGGCGTCTAAAATCTGAAATTATGACATCGCACGAAATATACTACTAATATAACTTCTCGTATTGTTATTTCAATACATCGTTGAGGATGATGCACCTTCATCTCTATTCCAAGTTAGAATAGGTCCCGCAGCCTGTACATGTGCTGGTGGTACGAGTTGACCAAATGGTTGTGAGGCTCGGTGACTTGGTTCATAGCGTGTTCTCGTACCCCGATGGCTCGGGTCGTTACTCAAATATCGATAACTGGAGTGATGGAGACACGATTATAGAAAACTTCTGAGTGCGACAATCAAAAAGCAATGCGCATTCGTGTCTCGGAATAGTTCTATCAGCTCTGTATTGTGGGTGAGTGTTATTTTACTCAACATAAAAAAAACAAATCTTTGTCACGGCGACCTGTAAATAATCGAATGCGGTCCCAGCTCACCAGTCCTAGACCCGTGAAGATATGGGGTAGATAGGTCTCAGCAACCCATGCTTGCTGTAAGAGGCGACTATGCTTGTCATAAGAGGGGACTTACGGGACTGGGTGTCCAGGCTCGCTAACGTGGTTGATGCATGTCATCGTATCCCACTTGCGTGGATGGATGCCCATGATGACACATCAGCATTCTAGTTGACAAGCATGGAGTACTTGGGCCAACATTGTATTCTGCACCGGACACCTTTCTTATCTCAAACTACGCATAACTCGACATGCAATCGATGTTCCCGGCTTCCGAGTTAACATGGGGATACATGTCAGAGTTTGCATCCGCTTATGACATTGGTGCTGCGTTCCTTCCAATGCTTGTGTTATGATGTGACGAGCAGGATAGCCTTGCAACATGCCACGGTGAATGCAACGAGCTCCATACATACCACTCTCCCAAGCTCGTATTCTGGACAGATCCCAGGACAAGGCTGATCTGCAGTTGTCGAGCCATGTTTTAGATGGGACTAAATTGGGTGAGGAAATAATGCAACACCGACGGAACTAGGTGCATAGGTGTCTCCCTCCCTGTGTGTCTGTATGTATGGCATCTTGCCTGTCGGCGAATATCATAAGCTAACAGATCGGTTTCCTTGCTTGCCAGTATTTCATATGGACCCCAGGACCCAATATTGACGACGTGATGAACGTCCATCCTCTTCGCCATGCCATCGTGTGGGCAGATCAAGGATTAGGACGGCAAATCTAAGATTCCAAACCCGGTAGCTGATTATGCGCATAGCTGATATCGATGCCTAACCCACTGAGCCACCATTACTCCTGCAGCCCAACCACGGACAACATATGTTATCTGACATAATCGCCGACAACTATGTAGCCAGTTAATTAAGTCCACATTCTCAGGTAATTATCAGTGTGGCACTGTGAATAGTCATTTGTCATATAGATAAAGAGTCTTAAGACGTATGGCCGCAAGGTGTGACTGTAGTGTTCATAGTACGCCGTGATGTTACTGGAATAATGTTCAAAGCGACGTTAGATAATACCCCCTCACTCACTTTCTACTATCACCGTAAACTTACCATCTCATACATGTACACATGTGTTTCGTTCTTATGATATTCAAGGGGCCTACATGAGTATGTATTATTAACCTAAACGTCATTACCATGTTAATTATGCATAAATATTCATTCCAGTATGTAATAAACTAACGAGAAGGCAATAGCAGCAGTTATATCACCACGTAATTAAACAGCGACACACTGTGCATGACAAGCAGTATCGGTTTCAACTCCGTGGGCTAGCAGCTAAAATGACCCAACTTGACCCAACTCTTCAGAGTGAGTGAGTGAGTGTGTTAATATTTAACGTCACATCGGCAATATTTCAGCCATATCGTGACGAGAAGTTATACATTAAATATACATATATTTAGTCTTTATGAAAAAAAATTGTCATCGAAGGACAGTATGATAACTAGAATATCACAGATAAGAATTAAAACTAGTTGCGGAACATTTAAAAGCATTAAGTATTAATGTACATCACATTATAAAAAAGGGCTATAGATCGCCAGCAACTGAAGGTAGATCACCATACTAGGGACCATGGGGACTTAGGGTACTTTAGCTACCTGCATGGACCCCAGCCGGATTTACATCATCCCTTCAGGTGTTGGCGAATATTGGGAAATTTAGCTAAATTAAAAGAACACATACACGATTAAAACTATAGTAGGAATAACATTCTTTGAATATTTTGGACTTACGATACCCTCTCAGGGGGACAATAATTTCCAACTCTTCAGATGTGTAATCTGCCCTCGTGTCCTTTCGACAAAGTATTTCCCAAACTTATTACATATTATTATTTGGGGGATTACACTTTCTAAATAAAGTACAGATTCTCGTACATTTTGGGGTTGAGTCCCGTCCGAGTGAGACACCTTATCGCCAGCACACAAAGTAAACGATCTAACCCACTCAGCCACCGATGCTTCCACAAGAAAGTGTTATCCCAAATACATTTGTTACATTTGACCACTTTCTGAATGGCATTGTGCGTTCATATTTCCCCAACTGTACATCTTATTACAATAACAGTGTTGTCTTTCAGTGAAAACACAGGAGAGTAAGAGCATCCTAATACCCCATGAACTCTCATTTTGTTTATTGTCACAACGTGTTCCCACTGATACTGCTGGTTCACCATAACACGTCATCTCATGCGTTATGCTAATCCTTATCAGAGCACAACATACGTATTTATATTCTTTAATGTAAGACAACAAAGATCAGTTGATGTGGTATGTACTTAACGTGTTTGATATGATAATGGTGCTGTGTGTGGTGCCTGTATGTGTGTATGTTAAATTATCTCGTACACCTTGCATTCACAGGCCACGGTAATCTTGCGGGAGATGATATCGTCTAATGATTGTCCCATGGCTACGAGTCTTGTTAGTGAAGTGCGCGTTCAGTTGTAGCCCTGTTGCAGTACTGCCGCAATCACGGCGTGTCTACCACCGCTCGCTACCAGCTCTGATAGTCGCGCAGGCCGACTACACGGCAGTGCATCGTCACTCCATTCTCGGGATGCGGCGTTCGCAAGAGTCTCAACATAGCGGAGAGCCCAGTACACGGTCTAGGCGACGGGATATTTCCGCGTTCCGAGACGGTCAGGTTTCCGACACAAGTTCCTGATTTTAAGGATTAGTTATCTTTGTCTTCCCTTCAGGAGCTAAGGGGATAATGAAGGCGGGAATATAATCCCACTCATTTGTGCATTCCGGAGTTGTTGAAAAGTTTGTTTCTTCAATATTGTGTTGGTAGCCGCAGCACGTGGGATGTGGCGACATTGTAGATGACGACGGTATTTAATGAGCAGTTGTGTACCACCAAGTGAAGTTAGGGGCTGCAGTCTCCTTGTGTCCTGTATTCCGTGCTGCTTCAGGATAGTCAGCATCATGTTCGGATGAAGTTTCCGAGTTGAAACTTACATTTGTATCACAGTTAGTTGTGAACATTCATAAAGTGTTAAAGTTAGTAAATTCAAATCTTAAGCCAGAGTTTTGAAGTTTGATCCGTCAGTCCTTCACGTGTAACTCCATTGCCCAGAAGCCGACGTGAAGGTATTAATATCAAGTTCATCATTAATCGTTAACTTCTGACCAGTCATGTTCCGCGGCGTCAAAAGCGCATTATAATTCACATAACGTTTGGAGATACAAGGCTGTTGCTGCCTACAAAGCAATTGGCACTGTGGCTGGAGCAGGGTGTGGAACCCTTCTCGCTGACATCCTTGCTTGGGTTACATCCAACAGGTGCTGCATTCTATCACGTGTAAAGTTGGGATCGTGCAGGGAATTAACTACCAAGCGTCAATACTATTTCTAACTCCACAAATGCGGAACTGATTGACTTAACATGTTAACCTAAGTTTACTTGGGCTTGACATATTTTTCAAGTTATCTTCTTACAAAACGCAAAGCTTTATAGGTTTGGACAACCTGCCAAAGATGGATAGTCACAATCAACTGTAGCAACGGGGGTGTGTCTTCTTGTATTATAGACAAACGGCCATACAAGCAGGTTGAAGAAGTTGAAACATCTCTGGGTCTCGATTATGTGTTCTCTTCCTCTTGGTCTTTAGCACCTGAATACCTGTTTGGATGCTGGACAGTGGTCCTGTCCTCTGTGCTCCTACCACCGAAGACGTATTAGAGGATGTCGGACATTAAAATTCAGCTTTCGGATATACGGATGTGATCCCAGTTCATCAAAGGGTTTTCTTGAATTAAAAGTTTTCAAGATGGAGGAAACGACGCCTGTGTTGAACCGCAGTGATTGCAAATACTACGACCCGGAGGAAGGGCCTATTCAGCAGTGTTACAAATCAGATGAACACCTACTGTCAAGTATATATGAATTCATCACTCCACAGCCCCATGAATGGGTATTCACTGTCCTGTACGCCCTGGTGTTTGTGTTTGGAATCACCGGTAATTTCCTAGTGTGTTACGCTGTGTGGCGCAACCATCAATTACGGACCACGACAAACTTTTTCCTTGTGAACCTGGCAGTGGCTGATTTTCTTGTGATGATGTTTTGCCTACCTCCGTCCTATGCACAGACCCTGTTTGAAACGTGGTTCCTAGGACTTGCCATGTGTAAAACAATAGAATACTACCAGGTACGTATCTCTATATTTGATGTGTATCTTACACATTGCATTGCACCGCCTGTCTATAACCCTAACCCTAACCCTAACCCTACCTGGTACGTATCTCTATATTTGATGTGTATCTTACACATTGCATTGCACCGCCTGTCTATAATCCTACTTTCCTGACAATAATGTCCAAGATTCTTCTTGGAATCACTCATTTCGTCTTTCCCTGTCCCTTCTTCTTCCCTTTGCATATGTAATCACAATGATGGATAAACGTGTTATTAAGAGAATAACCTTTACTTGTGGTGAACGGTATTTTGCTGCGTACATTGAAATGGACGTGATTCAGGCACGTACGTGTTTGATCACATTTACAGTTATAATCATCTGCCATTTGAAATCTACTAAATTAGTCATGCTTGACATTATGTATATATATGGAACCATATTTGATAATGGCAATGATACCATGACAATGACTTAAGTTCAGCATCTGTTCGTTATTAATTGCTATCAACAAAGGCGCTATTGTAGTCATTAGCATAACCATTACATGAACAAGCTAATCGTAGGCATGTGTCCTGCTGTGCAATAGCATCTGCTGTTGTCCAATGCTCAGCTACATTTTTTACAACTGAGGAACTGCACATAAAAAAAATCACGAATATAATAGCATTATTACATTTGATACAGAAGATAAATACTCAAAATGTACAGTGTATATTTCACTGACGATATATGACGAGGGGTGTGACATACGTACGTACATGTATCTGATATAGACTAACACCTTTCGTAGGATAGGAGCATTCTACGTGTGTGTTTGTGTGTACTGGTCCGGACTAATATAGTCCGCTTTTATTATCTAGCCCACTGAGACACCATGGCTCAGTTTAACACGAATACCCCACTCGGACACAGTATTCTGACGCCAAATCGACCCTTCCTTGTTTTAGCTCCTTAACGCCGTGTATGGCAAGGGTATTGCTGGGCGCGGCTTTAGGCATCAAACACTTACTTTTCATGAAAATCGTGCAAGTCGTGGGTGTTACCGGTAGAGCAGGACTCGCTTATCTTTTCGCAAACACCTTTTGCAGCTACTCCTCATATAATATGCATCACTATTTTGTCTTCTACTCCCAATGGAATCATTGCTGCAGATAATCGAGACTTATTATCCTCTGGCCTTGACGTTGGGAATGTAGTGTTCACATTAAAAGTTTCCAAACATATGAGTGCGTTTGTCAAATTGCTTAAACATCCATTATATTAGAAACTGTTGTGAAAGGCTAAACCGACTTTAGTTCACGTTGTAAACAGCAAAAAAAAGACAAAGAAAGACGATAAATATATTTTGAAGTGCGTGGGTTCTTGCGTTAAGTTCTTATCAGGGTCTGGGAAGCATCACGCCAAAATCTCTTTAAACTTTTTTTCACATAAACCCGCACAGCTTGCGAACACTATACACGTTTCGACTACCGTTCTTGTGATTACCGGGGTAGAATAGGTCTTCAGCAACCCATGCTTGCTGTAAAAAGCGACTATGCTTGTCGTAAGAGGCGACCAATGGGATCGGGTGGTCAGGCTCGCTGACTTGGTTGATGCATGTCATCGATCCTAATTGCGTGGATCGATGCTCATGATGTCAATCACTGGATTGTCTGGTCCAGACTTGATTATTTACAGACCGCCGCCATATAGCTGGAATATTGCTGAGTGCGGCGTGAAAGAACAAACCAACCAACCAATCTTATGATTAAATATTGGCCACAGTTTAACCACTTCTTTGCGTTATGTTCGTCTTGGTCTTCAAACTATATACGGAATTGGATATCAATACGGAAATACCACACAGAAGACAGGAATAACCTAATGTGAACTTCATGTTATTCTATTTCAAACTTTGTGACATTATAAAGAATAAATAAGTAAGAAGATCGTTATGATAAGTATTCATTTGTACATTATCCGTCCTCCTTCGCATTATATGAAACAATAGAAAACCCCGTTGCAGTTACCATTGTCGTCATGATGTCGGCGTGACGTGCATGAGAATGAGCGTGAGGCTTCAATTGATAAATTGATAATTGATGCTAAATCAACCAGCGTTTTTTAATGGATGTAGCTATAGTAGATAATACTATCTATCACCATCAATTACAATATTTCGATAATGTCATATATAAACAGATAAATATGAAATTCGACAGATATGTATTTTTAAGGTAACCAAGCACGGATACTAAGTGATTGAGTGAGTTAGTTGGGTTTAACGCCGCTTTGAACAGTATTAAAGTTTTATCACGGCGTGTCGGCATAATGTTGGAGGAAAGCCCGCACGGATACTGAGTGAGTGAGTGAGTGAGTGAGTGAGTGAGTTGGGTTTAACGCCGCTTTAACCAGTTTACAGTTATATCACGGCGTCTCATCTCAATGTTGGAGGAAAGCCCGCACGGATACTCAGTGAGTGAGTGAGTGAGTGAGTTGGGTGTAACGCTGCTTTTAACAGTATTCCAGTTATATCACGGCGTCTCATCTTAATGTTGGAGGAAAACCCGCACGGATACTTAGTGAGTGAGTGAGTGAGTTGGGTGTAACGCTGCTTTGAACAGTATTCAAGTTATATCACGGCGTCTCATCTTAATGTTGGAGGAAAGCCCGCACGGATACTCAGTGAGTGAGTGAGTGAGTGAGTTGGGTGTAACGCTGCTTTGAACGGCTTTAGAGTGTTATCACGGCGCGTCATCTTAAGGAGGAGCGCCCGAACGGAAACTCGCTTCGACGTTGAAAGTGTTACACTTGCGGTATGCCTGCACGTTCAAACTGAATATCCACTTACTTATCAAAGTTTGCAGCGTTCTGCTTCCATGAGCGACCGATTTAGCATCTGCAGGCAACAGTTATGCGACTGAGCACCGCGATGTTTCATAATAAGTGTCTTCACTGCACTTGGTGGGACCATATTTGGGGTGATTAGTCCTTCATATTATGATCTTTTTTTCTGTTAGAAGAATTCCGTTAACGACGAACCTGCTCGCGTTCTTGGCATTATGACATCGCCTTCCTGCCGCTGAAGCCGTGGGTCTTGCATTGCAGTGAGCGTGCTGCATCGTTGTACACATTAGGTTGGGTTGGGTGATAATAGCTGTGGATGTAAAGACAAAGGATTGAGGTTATGTTAAAACTGAAACATAGCTTGTGGAGGCGGATGAAATACTTATGATTAGGAGATAAGATACCAGTATACACGATTGATGTTCTAAGGATAACAAATAAAGCATGCATGGACCTCCCCGTTTGGTTTCCGGGTCATAATAAGTTTCAGCTTGCTTGTGGTAGGTTGCTAATGAGAATCTGGTTTAACCAATGTCACCAGGGCTGGTCCTCTCGGCTATGCATCGATTGTGTACAAATCTGCCTGGAGCGTAAAACGATAATCACTTACTCACTATGTGTGATGTGTTAGATTCCGGAGCAATTCATCCTATTTCTTTATATAAGTTCTGATGCTGTTCTATCCGGGCTTTACCTATGCCCATTGTGTATTTCGATGTAAGGTATTGATTTACTCTTCCGGCACAGTATCCGCTGATCAATATAATTCATTATTTCCCTTCCATTTATCCACACACGTAGGCTTCATTGGAATGTGACCCATGGAGATCCGGGGTAGAACAAATTTACTTTATCTTTACTTCAAAATTTCCAATGTGGGTATTAGGGGTTACATGAAGGTATCACCAGTGAAGATCCGAGTTAGAAACGGTCTTCAGGAACCAATGCTTGCCGTAAAAGGCGATTACGCTTGTCGTATGAGGCGACCAACTGGATCGGGTGGTCAGGCTCGCTGACTTGGTTGATGCATGTCGTATCCCAATGGCGTGGATTGTCAATCACTGGATTGTCTGGACCAGGCTCTATTATTTACAAACCGCCGTCGTACAGCTGGAATATTGCTGAGTGCGGCGTTAAACAGCAAACAAACACATCCTTAATTATGGATGGGGGATGCCATGATTGCTCACCTTCATTCATCAAGGAAGTACGTTGTTCTCTCGAGTTATATAATAAACAAAATGTTAAGATTCATTAATAATTTGGGGATTATTGTTATGAAATTTTGTATTCTGCCTTCACGGTTAAAATCATCCCCCAAAATCTTCACGATCCTAACCTATTTTGTGCAGTGTATGATGGTGGTGACATTTTCTAAGTCTACACGTTGGTAAGTATGTCCTTGGTCCTTGGATTGATGCTCATGATGTCAATCACTGGGTTGTCTGGTCCAACCTCGATTATTTACAAACCGCCGTCATATAGCTTGAATATTGCTGAGTGCGGCGTTGAAAACAAATAAACAAGCATACAAATCATTGGAATGTTAAACGTCGAGGTTCCTGGTTAAAATTGGCCCATCAAGCTGAAGTGCCGGGATATTGCACATACAGCTACTACATGTACTCTAAGGGCGTCACACCCAACTCACTCACTAACCCACAATTCTGCTGACATACATGTACATGATCTCTCATGGTGAAACAAGCTTTGATGTATATGTCATAGCGCACAAATGATTTTACCTAATCCTATACGGAGTTTGAATATTAGAGGACTGTGTGCTAACCACTTGAAATAACCACCCTCTGATCCCGATGTGAGTTATCTATCCGGTAGACTAGTTTTCCTGGTCTGGTCGTAGCAATTAGAGTGTCGCTTCTATTCCCTGTCACAAATGTCACCTCTGCGTGAGCATTTCGATTAATCAATATCTATAGCCTGCAGATCAATACCCATTTCTTCTCCTGATGTGTAGAGAAGCAGAAGTCAGATTTATATATTGCTCTCCAAATATTTACAGGACTTAATGTAAACGTACGTATCTATGTATCGATATTTGTATCATACAAATTGATTATCGTCCATCCTGAAGGCTATACGAGGTTATCAAGATGGGACTGTAGCTTACAGTAACGAGCAACGTGGTTGTGTCTATTTTCTAGATCGTGATAATATGGGTGAAG